GATCTGATTTAGGAGCTGTAACACTGATCCAACAAAAAGTAATGCCAAACCAGACAGTAGCAGGATGATCTTTACAACAAGTAGAGGTGTGTGTATCACAGGAATGGCTGACCAAAACAACAAATTATTTGGCGGCGAACATTAAAGCAAACATATTTCTGTGAAGCTTTCCATTTATGCGGTACATAGCTAGTGTAGTAGTAGTTAATCACATTTAACTGGGTTTGTTATGTAATGTTGAAGAGATTTCAACACTCATCCAAGTGGCTTCCTCAGTTCCAATAGGTGTAAGGAACATAGAGTGCACAAGCATGTATAGCCATTATTGGCAACTATAGCCTTAATCCAATTATCAGGGTGTCAAGGTAGAAGATGATTGTCAAAAAACACCACAGTAGCTGTGTTTGTGAAAACACCTGTTCTAATTTACATAACTTAGCCATTAGGTCCATGATGTCTGGGAGATGTGTTGGTTGTTTGCATTATATGGCTGAAGGTGTGCATTGTTGTCAAATTGTCAGGTTAAAGCTGTTAAAGTAGCATTATCTATGGGTATAAGTAGTGATGAAGGCCATCACCTCTGTTTAAGGTTGGGTAATCCAGCGTAATGTAAATGGTTCCTTTTATCCTTTTTTCCAACCAGTTAACCTCTCCGTGCAAATTTTGCAAATCACTGCCCTTGAAACAATGTCCATTTTCCCGTGTGTAGATCAGTGATTCCTGACCTGCGGGGTTTGCACTCATTTCTTGGGATGCAAACAGGGGTTGTTTGGTCTCCTCAGTGTACATTCTTCACTACACTGGACTGCGCATGGTTTTGGAATTTTCGGATCTACAAGATCCTGTCTTAGTGTGTTGCTGAACTTGTAAAACACAGCAATGCTATGTTTGTTTAAAATAATTCTTGCCAATCATTATGCCAATAGAGCCACACACAGGATAACTATATTATATACTAGGTTCTGCATCTCCCCTCAGTTTGACAGTCCGGAGTTCTTGCTTGACCATGGAGCTGGTGAAATGAAGCCCAGTCTGGGTAGCCACAAACGTTCAAAACAATTATGCAATGCTTTATTCTTTGTACTTAGTTTATGTGTTTGTTTTTTTACCATAGCAGCCCATCTCAACTGAGGAAGCCACTTGAATGAGTGGTGAAATGTCTTCAACATTACAGAACAAGTCAACTTAAAATTGACTAACTACTATTAGCTATCAAAGCATAATTGTTCCAAACTTTCTGTTGGACATTAAGAACAATAATTACTTTAAAGTGACATTAAAGTAAAAAAAAATTCCCTCCCCCACGTTAATGTTAGCACTTACCTTAAATGACGTCTCTTATTCCGATCTTCTTCTTTCCTGATGTTTTCATCTGTCCCTCCAGCGGTGCGGCGGCTCTCTCCGATCCAGCGCTGACTGCTCTGTCCCTCCGATCCAGCGGTGTCTGCATGCGGGTGCACGAGTCCATAGACTTACCTTGCGTCTCTGCTCGTCTCCCGGTCGAGAATCTGAACTGCGCATGCGCCCGCCCCAAGATCCTTTGCGGCCACACGAGCAGTTCCTGATTCTCGGCGCAGGTAGCGCACAGCGATAACGAGGTAAGTTTAAACCGCTGTTAAAGCGGTTTTTTTTTAAACCGGAGGGTTTAGCACCCCTTTAACAACAACAAAAAGTTTGAAGAGGAAGGTGGGGGTAGGCCAACCCTTTACTTTCTCTTTACAGAAGTCCACATTATCTTATCATTGTGGCTCATTTTACACTACTGCAGGTTATTAAGGGAATGCTTTAAAGTGTATTTCCACTTTCGCAGTCAAATTGGGATAACACCTATTTTATATTTGTTATATGTTCCCATTCCCACAAGCTAAAAACAAAATTTAAAATGCTTTTTAAATTTCTTTTTACTTGGGTTAGGGTTTTAAGGGTTAACATTTCTTCTTGCTTCTATTTCTTTGAAATGTTAGGAGGAGCTGTGAGTGGTCGGAGGTGGGTTGTCCATTGTATGTTAATTAAGCTTTTCAAATAAACACAATAGTCAAATTTCAGACCCAAGGCTCTTCATTAAGACAGACCACTGTGAAAGGGCTAAGAAAAACCTGGAATCAGCCATTTTGCCCGATTTAACAAAACATCTAAAAGGTAAGAAATATTTTTTAAAAGTTATTTTTCATTATGCTTTGTGAACAGGCACACATAACAAACATATGGTGCAAAAGTGGACATACACTTTAAGCTGCTCCACTATCACCATACAGGAAAAATGTAAACACTATGGGGGGCCCATTTATAGACAGAAAAAATATGAAAAGGAGTATCCTAGTTTAACAAGAAACATTTATATTTTAAAGATGTGTTAAACCCAGATTTGTTTTTAAGATAATATGTATAGTGAAGTCACATGCACTTCAATGCAGGAGGCCATCTAACTGATGGACTCCAGCAAAGAGTGGAGGGGACCTTATCCGGCAGCATAAGGACTGGGTCCCCTACTCTCTCGTGCAGCTGTCGGGCTCTCGGTTCATGCTCGATTGCCCGACTTCTCAGAAGGGGGTGACAACAAAAATGACTGTCAATCATTTTGGTTTCACCCCCTCTGATGGTGTCACCCGGTGCAGGCCGGATCCCCCTTGTGGCGCCACTGAGTCACTTACTTGTTTGAAGCTTCACTGGTGTCAGATCCAGATCCCTAAGCTCAGCTTCCTTTAACTTCCTATTGGGGAGAGTGCACCCTGTGTACTAAATTACAAGGGACAGCAGCTGTCCATGTATTAGCTTCAAGGAGGGAGGGGATGGGACATGCTAAGGCTTTGGGGTTGTGTGTTTGTGTGGACGCACACCGTTCCTTGCTAGGAGCGTGCACGCAAGGGCGGCTCTGTATGTCCCTATAATGGAAAGGAGCCACCCTGAAAAAGTTTACCAGTGCTGACTGGACCTGTGTAATGCAGAGGATAGAACAAATGCAGTACATAAGAAGAAGCATATACGGGAATTGCTTAAAAAAAGTTAAAGCTTTAATATTAATGTAACAAAAGATAACCTCTTTAAGTTCAAAAAGGTTCATGGGTTATATAGAGACTTTACACATCGGTCTTTTAATAACAGTCATAAGACATGTATTCTTGTGGATGATGTTTACTGACGTTGGTATGATCTAATAAAACACATAGATTCAAATGTCTGAGACTGGGATAGGGGAATAATTATATAGTTACACGTCTGAATCAAGCACCTATTATTACAATTAAGGCAGATTTAAAAAGAGTATAGTTTGGCTTTTTTTTTATCAGTTGTGTCATTATGAAGATATGCTTTTTTGTGCAGTAAGTGGATAACATTTGGTGTTTCCTTTTTTTCAAAGATTATTTGATAATTGAATGTAATTCAATTATGGCCAATAGATAAAACAGATCCAAGTATCACCTGCCATAAATTGGTTATGTAGCAGTTAACAATCAAGTGATAGTAAGCACTGGAAAAGCAGGTTATTGCACACACACATTTTCCGACATGGAAAATGATGTGTGCAGTTGGCCATTAAATAAAAAAGAGCACATTTTTTTATTGTTTGTTGGGTGGCATAAACATTTATTTCTGCTAAGTAGTAGAACCCAATTTTCCCCAAACATAATTCTATATGCATGCTTTTGTCTAATCTATCCATTCAACATTGTTTCAGTAGTGCTGTGGAACATCCAGGTGGTCTTTTAAAAAACAGATTTTTTTTTCTTTTTGAGAGTACTGGCTCTCTTCAGGGTAACCTCCTATGAATATAACCCTTGTTAAGTACTTTCCTTATGTTAGACTCATAAATGCCGATGTTAACAAGGGCAAGGGATGCCTGCAGATGCTTGTCTGTCATCCTAAGATTCTTACCTGTTTATGAAGTTTATGAGGCGTTTATGAGCTGAACCTTCTATAATGCTAACTCATTGGGCAATTAGCATTGAAAATTAATTTCTGCTGTTGACTGATGGAGGTCAAAACTTTTTACTTGCATTATTGGCTCCAATAACTCTTTTTTAGAGGTCCACATTTTTTATAATTAGACAATTGTATATTTCCTCAGAATTCCATTGTGAAGAACAAGTAAACAACACCATATCATTTTTTATATGGCAGGACAGGTCAAACCCCCATCTACAATGACAAAAGCATTTTTTTCTATCAATGGCCCTTGCCATTAGTAGTTAGACACTTTCAAATGGACATGCTCTGTAAATAGAAATGCCCAGTTAAATGTGCCTAACTGCTACAAGATATGCCATGACATGGAGAAATAAAAACCTTCATAGACACATTAATGATTTTATTGCTTAAACATTTATTTAGTAAATATATGGTAATTTAATGCTCTGTGCTTTTTGTTAGAATGTAATTTAATAATATTAGTATTATTATTACTACTTTAATTAAGATTTAATTGTAAGATTTACATTAAAAAAAAAAGCAGACATCAAATTTGCTTGCTGTTGTGTTTTATTAACAAATCAAAAAGGTATTTTTAATAACAGGAACATCAAGCTAGATTCTAAAGTGAACCATCTATTACAATATCATGTTACTTTGGACATCCAGGTGGAGAAGCAAATAGTTGATGCCTGCAACATGAAATTTTATTTATGAGGTTATCTGTCTGCTCACTTTTCTCTTGCCTATTGTCAGATGTTTTCTGTTCAGCATATTTACATGCAGTTTACCATAAATGAATTAAAGGAGCCTGAAAACAAGTTGACTTTAGGTACTTAGTTGCTTTTAGGTACTTAGTTGCTTACGAATGAAAAACACACATAAAGATGCATTAATGAATGCAGAGCTGCATCAATGTGAGCCTTTAATTTTTCTAATTACGGGTTTCTTGGCAAAATGTACATTGATGTTGGTAAACAAACAGATATGTCAGTATTAGAATATTAATTGCTATCCTCTAAGATACTCCAGCAAAAGTGTAAACAAAATCTGTTTCATATCTTGTGAAGGGCATCATATTCTCGGACTGAGCATGCAATAATAAGCTTTATTCAGAACAAAAGGTTTTCATCAATATCATCTGTAAAAAGAAAGAAAAGTATGCATGATATATCCTTCATGTAGAAACTCGCAAAGGCATGCATGATAAAATGATCAAATGATCTAAGCAGCAATAGTTGTTGGTAGGACCACCCAAACTAGAAAAGTCACCAGCAAAAGACAGCACACAAACAGAAACCTTGTGCCTTCAGGTTTGGGTTGGCCAAAGGAACAACAATCCTATAATGAAAAAAAAAAAAGTTATTGCTGTGAGGTTTAATGCTGGAGGCCAAGGTCTTTCATGGACTGTTATGCTATTGAGTGAGTACGTAAGATTCAGCGATGTAGCATAGGACTGGGTTTGTTGATGATGGTAAAATCCTGGGAAGTAATCTCACTGGTACTGCTGATGTCACCCTGGATGCAGCCGCTGGGAATGGGGAAGTAAGTGAGCAGATGTACCAGGCAACAGAGACTATTGCAGGTGCAATATATTGTACAGTAGGTGCCATGTGAGATCCTGATGCAGGCGAACTAAGTGCAATAAGGCAAATGGAAAAGCAATAAAGCAGTCATATGAGCGTTGGAAAATTGAGTATATTTTGTACAAGTGTTTTGGAACAAGGTGGAACAAGGGGAGACATGCCAAGTGCGCAGTCTATGCAGCTGCACATGAGTCCTTTGCGACTTCGGGACCTATTTATATTAGATGTGCATCAGGCAGATGCTGGGACACCCACCTGCTGTCATATAGACTTGGCCACTGCTCAGTTCTGGGGCAAGTGAAAAGCAGGAGACATTATTTATAATATTTTAACCTGCCTCTAGGTTTGTAATTTCCAATTAATGTTGGACAGAAAACACCTTCTTTAACTCCTGCCTCACCTGCACTCACTGAGACATGCAAAATGTTTCCCCACTTCCTCTTGACACCATTTTGACTAGAACTAAAGAGACAGTTTGCTGTTATAAATAGTTGGCCACTGCTCAGTTCTGGGGCAACTGATAAGCAGGAGACATTTAAAATGCTTTCACCAGCCTTCAGCTTTGTAATCTCCAAGTGAAACATCTCCTTTATCCCCTGCCTGACCTGCATGGAGACATGCGACATGCATTCCCACTTCCTCTTGACAATTTTGACTAGAACTAATAGGAAGGTTTGCTGTTTGGTAAAATTTAGCAAAGATGAACATCATGATGGTCAGCTCCTGCTAAGAAAACTACTGAACTAGTGGCTTATTGCAATTTCCCATGTTCCAAAAGAAACATGTTCGTAGAAGGCTGTGTGCTGCAAATTAGTTATTATATTGCTAATTCCATAATGATATTGTTGTTTTTTCGCCATTATCAGACACAATGAAAGTAATACAATTTAGAAACTGACCCTACATACAGTAGAATCATTGATATCTCTACACTCCTGCAATACTTGCAGCTTATTGTAGGTGTCAAGAAAGGTTATCACAGTGGACACCTTTCTCCATATCAGGACAGGAGCACTTTGGGAAAACTACATCTCGGGCACATTTGTTGAACCAGTAGTATATGTGCTATTTAAGACGTTGCACATTCAGTTCTCATAGCAATTACAGACACTGTGATTGCATTTGTTCATCCATTACACATAAATATTACCATCTTTGATTCCAAAGCAGTGGCACCATTCCTGCAGGGAAATGTGTTTATCATTATTTGTGTTGCAGCCCTGTAAAAATGCTGTCACACAATGTTCCATCGGGATCAATGGGGCACGCAGTGCTGAAAGCTCTGATCTTGTAAGCAGTCTGCAATATAAAACAGAGCAAGCAAGATACATGAAGAGCTGACAATTATCTACTGTATAATCTACATATTTAATACTATATATGGGTCTAAAAGGTACATGCAAGCAAAGTAGACTTAACAATACTGATAGAAACAAAGAATGTAATGAAGACTGGGAGTCATAAAAAATGTTCTGTCCTTTGTTTTAAATGTTTGCCCACTTGCAGAATGCAAATTAAAATTGTGTGTGCTGAAGTAAACATGGTAGCTTGTAGTTTATACAGATATAGGTACAACAGCCATTCTCATATGTTATACTGTGAATACTAGATCTGCCACTAAGTGGTAGTGTACTTATCTTATATTTATTGCTTGGATAATATTAGGGATGTTCAGATACCAAGCACTGTACTTGGTACAAGTACAAGTACAGATACATTTCCAGCTCCAGGACTAGACTAGACTAGAAATCATTTGTTAGGAGGCAGCTGTCATTGGTAAGGAGCATACAGAGCTCCTGGGATTTGTACATCTCTGTTTTAATGTATGATTTGTTATATATATATAT